ACGTTTAACCTTCTCCAACTTCCTCAGGAATTTTCTTTAGGTTTTTTTTTTATGTGTTTGTTTTTGAATTTGAAACCCAGTTAAGTATGTTACATATAGTTCTCTTGTTTCTTCAGCCAACTTTAAAAGTGAGCGTATTTTCACTTTTCCTTTTTATTTTTTGGTACCGGAGATTGAACTCAGGACTTTGCTCTTGCAAGGCAGGTAGCAAGGCACCACTGAGCCAAATCCCCAGCTCCTTACTTTTTGTTTTAGCTTTTTTGATTCTGATTTTTTAAGAGAGTTGACCATTATCATATAAAATGCCCATTATCAGGATTTATTTGACCTCTTCCTCACAGATTCAAGATAAGCACGTTTGGCAGGAATTCTATTTGCTGATGCTGGAGATGCTTTTTATTTCATCACATTGAGAGGTGCATGATGTCAGCTTTTCCCACTGTCAGCAACGTTCGACCCCTTGGTTAGATGGTGTCCAGATTTCTCCCCTGTAAAGGCCCCTTTCACCTTTTGTAGTTAATACTACATATATCTGTAGAATGAGTTGAGAGCTTGTGAATAACGTATTCAAAAAATCTTTCACTCAATATTTTCAGCAGATATTGACGCTTTGTTAAATTACTGGAGAGAGAAAAATGATATTTTTGGTACATATTAGCTAGTATTCTTCTGTGAGTAAAGGATTTTTAGTTTTTTAAAAAAAATCATTGTATGGGGCTGGGAGTATAGTCCAATGGTAAATCAATGTGTTTAATCCTTACTATAAAGAAAGAAAGAAAAAACAAAGTGAATCCTTATGAAATTTTAGATTTCTTTTGAGGTTCCAAGCATCCCAAATTTGGCGAGCTGGATCCCTGGAAGTAAATTTTTATTTGGAAGTGTTCTCAGTACTTGTTTGTGAGTTCAGTAAATAATTTCAACCATTTTTTTTTCTTATAGTAATGATTACTTTTTCCTAGAGATACAAGTGTATAACCAGGTTTATTGTTTATGTTTAATGACATCTTTCATTTGTTGTAGCAACCTATCAATGCTGTCAGCAGTTATAAAACGTGCTGAAATAAATGACAGCATTAGAGGCTTCCCATACTTTTATCCTGTTTTCAAAGGACCAAGAACACTGGCTGACCTTCAGCGGAAGTTCCTTGAATTAATAATAAAAATATATGTCAAAATCATGAAACATAAACAAAAGATTGGAATAATAAACATTAGGGGTCTAATTGTACAGAAATAAAGTTTTACTGCTACTCATAAGTGATTTTTGTATACTTGCTAAAATTTGAAATTTCCCCCAAATTCTTATTTAGAGAACAGTCTTTCATTAATTTTCCCTGACTTTATTTCATAGGGGATATCTAATAGAGCCACAATTAGTAATAGCTTCTAAGATTTCTTTCAGTTTAGCACATTGGTAAATGAATAGTCCTTATTCCCTATCAGGTAGATTGCTTCCTAGCTCCATAGCTCCTTACCAAAGCACTGTATATCTGGGATGACAAGTTGGCCAATATAATTTAGGTTTTCTTAGAAAGTTTTTCTTAATAACATTTAGAAAATTTAGAACAAGCTCCAAAAGAGAAAGGATGGATTAATATAAACTTTTCTCTGTGAAGAGCTACGAGTGGAAACTGACAAGTAGATGCGTCATATGCATCTTGTATAGTTTAAAAAAAACTTTTCTAATATAAATTTACATTTAAAACTCCCACACATAAATTGCATCATTGTGGATTATCTACAAAGTGGGTAATATATGTGTGGATTATTCTGGGCAGACTATAAACAGCTTAACCCAACAAGGATACTTGATCCTATTACATGGAAGGGAGTAATTTCCTCTTCCAATACTTTTTGCATTTTAATTGAAGTTTGAGTTCTATACATTAGTTTGTTGGGCTGATAAACTACATTACTTTATAAGACAAAATAGAGCCTTACTGTATTTGATGAAATATCTACATGAAAATAAACCAAACTTTTACTAAAAATCAGAGATTATGTAAAGAATGATGGAAAGCACAGTAGCCTTTAAGAGATGCCACAGATGGATAAACATACAGTTAAATGGTCAACTTTTCAGACAGTTCACCATCAAGGAGTTTCAACTTATTATATATTTTACCTACAGCTACCAGTGGGATCCCTATATATAACAGGGACACATTTTCAGTAACCTTCTATCAGCTAACCACTAACATTTATCTTCTTTCACATTACCGGTCTCACATATCGTCTATTAATTTTCAGTCCTCCAGGTGCTGTTTATTAAATTAGGGATACAGCCTACCAAATTAATAAATTATTACTGTGGAGACACTCTTGCCTTCTGAATGTATAAAAGCACTGCCTGAATCACTCTCAGGGAATGATTTACACATGAAGAGGCTCTGGTGTTTTAAAAAAAATCCCTGTGCATTTCTTATCTCCAGAAATAGTTCTTTAAGTGTAATATCAAAGCAATTGGTTTTTTCAAAGTAATAAGGATTCTTACTCTTCTGTTGTTCCCAACACAATGTAACATTTTGAAATTTAAAAAACTGCATTAGAAACGGAGAGTTCCAATTTAATGTCTATGTACAAAGTCTGGAAAGGACTTAGCTTTCTCTTGTTAAAGGATTTATGTTTTCACCCAAAAGAACTGTAATAAAGTGAATAAGGAAAATACTTCAGCAGATCAAGGAAAGAGAAGTTGAGGAATTGGCTGTGGTTGCCAGATACCCTCTTCTTTTTGAAGTATTAAAGGGTATTTACGGAAACTGCTCCTAGCTTATCTTGTGCTAGGGTTTTCTCATCATTGGGCGGGTCATGTCAGATTTCTGTGGTGCTTATTTATGTGGGACACATACATCTATCTAAATTTAGGTATTATGAAATAAAAAAGGAAGTAACTTTGGTGAAATTTCTCCCGTGGGTTATAAACTCTGCAACAGCAGAAAGCCTGTCATTCTTATATTCTTAGTGCCTGATACATGGAACAATTTTTGTGAATAAAGATATGTATGCAGTACACAGAAAATGTGCACTGTTACTGGGAAATCCACAATTATTCAGACTGTAATGTACGTTTACTGTCAGTTTAATGTTTGTCTCATTACTTAGCTTTCCAAATGCATCTTCCCCTCCCCTCAAATCCATACAGCGAAGGATGGGCAATTAATTTTTACTGAGGTTGTGCATCAATAATCTATCACAATGAAAAGATAAATTTTATTATAGGGTGTTCTAGCACTTTAAAGGTTCTCTGTTTGGTCTGACAGAAAATCCAAACTGGCCTCAACTTCCAAACTGAACAGAATAATTGCAAATGAGAAGGTTGGAGTCATAAATAATAGTATTAAGGCAGTGGTGATGGTAGTGATCAGGAGTTAAGAATGGTCACAGATACTGTGGTCTTCTGTTATTCATCACAATTTTTAATGGATATGATGTAAATAGCTTTCTCTCTTTAAGCTAACCCCGTAGCGCTTTATACTATTGTACACACTACAGTATGCATTTTGGTAAGATAACTGCTGTTTGGATAAGTGGATTGTTTGATCCTTAATTTTTTTTTTTTTTTTTGAGACAAGGGCTTGGTAGGTATTCAAGGTTGGCCTTGAACTCACCATAGAGCCCAGGTTGGCCTGGAATTCAACCTGGAAATTAACCTGTTATTTCTATTTTGATTGCTCTTAACATCCAGCCTATTAAAAAAAGTTAAATAGTAATCTGAAAGACTGGTATAAATTCCTTTGTTCAGAGTTGAACCTAGAGTATTAAAGATTTTTTTTCCTTTCTTTCAGCTCCAGTCTTTTTTGTTGTAAAGAGGTCACGTAAGGACGTCCGGGGAAGGGATCTGTGCGCCATCTACCGACGGGATTTAAATTTCCAGTCTGGAGAGGGAATTAACTACGCGCGGGGGTGGGGTGGGGTGGGGGGGTGGTTTGAAGCATTCTTTGAGAAAGGAGGGTATTGGGGAAAGATGCTCTCAGACTCTGACTTATCCGTGATTGCTAAATAAATCTGAATTCAATAAACATGTAATTAACCAAAAAAGACATTAGCGCCTCACGCGGGTTCCTTTTAGAGAGACTCTCAAAGAGCAAGACACAGAAAGCTAGCCAATCCCTGAAACCAACTCACATGGGAATAGGATTGTTTTTCACCTGAGCCCTAACTCACATCCACTGCTACTGGTTACCGCTTAACAGGTAATGGCTTTACTAATGACACATCCAGTTAACCTTCAGTTTCCAATCTTATCACTAAGGATCAAACTTCCCAGTTTGATCATTTTATCCAAAGTTTAATAAGGGACAGCAGGAAGGCTCACTTGTCACATAGACACTACTCATATGTAGCTTGTCTAGCTGTATGCGAATTTAATCCTTGTACACACTGACACCGCTACACATACCCCTGCAAGACGATGTGCATTTACTTACGTGATACAGATTTATGTCTATGCACACGATGATATTCAGCTATTTACTGGGTTGAGAAATCTGGGCCCTTAGACTTGGATTCAAATGTTTCTCCCTTCAATTGTTTGTTCCTCTCTATGCTAAATTCTGTAGAAAAAGAAAGACTGGGCTTCTCCACTGTATAGGTTTTGTGACTGGGTGAGGTATCAGTCTTACAGGGTCAAACTACTCTAGCAGGAGGCTTGCTGGCTTGCAGATTAAAGTTGGCTCAAGTGGCCTGATCTGATTCTCATTATCTTTGTGTGAGCAGCGGGTGGAACGAACATTAAAAGGTAGCAAGGACCCCCAAAACACTGATAACCTCCTCCCTGCTTTTCTGTTCTCATATCCAACGTTGCTTTGGTGACCTTAAGTAGGCTAGAGGAAAAGAAGAAAGCAAGAAAATTGAGACGTAAAGAGGAAGATATAACAAGAGGGAGGGCAGAGAGAAGGAAAGTTCAGACGTTGACGGGTGACAGAAAAGGGGAGTGAAAAAATATGAAGACCAAAAATACAAAAACCAAAACACAAGAAAAAGCGCTTCATTTAACGAACCAAAGTCAAACCCGTCTTTCATTTTCGTGGCAGTCGTCTAGGTCGCATCCGTTTCCTTTCTGAGGCCAGTCAGCGCTCCGCACTCGCGGACCAAGGCG